CCCCCCCCCCCCCATTCACTGCTATTATAAAGCCTGGAAGGGCCAGGACATTTTTTTATATAACTCCAATTATATTCGAAAGAAAGTCATGTACACCTAGGATGGCTTGAGGATGAGTAAATCATGGGGCAATTTTTACTTTTGGGTGAACTATCTCTTTAAGGCTCCGAAGCTGTGAAAGAGCAACGTCTGATCAATAAAAACATCTGTGGAGGTTAAACTTTGGGTTTACCTCCTGAGATCTCATTGCCCTCATCCACAGGTCCTGGTTCTTTCAGTCTTTGAGGTTGAGTGGTGTCTCCATCACTGCTCTGGTCTTCTGTTGAAGAGACATGAGGAATTAAACAAGTCCAAAATACTCAGCCATACATGTATAACATACCGTGTATAACTTTAACTAAATATACAGTTAAAATGTTCTAATATTTTTAATATCAGTATATGAATAACTTATTCTTAAACATGTAAGCCCTGTATATTTGTATACACAGTGTTACTATGCAAAACTGATGCTGTTATTTTCAAGGCACTAATTTTTTTTCATTGTTTTCTTGAAACACACAGGAGACTACAAATCAAACACATTATTTTCACTTGCAATCCGTTTCAGCGGGATTGCTTCAAAGAAACAAGGTATTTCGTACCAGCATATTTTCCCTGAAGTGCTCGGCTGTGCAGGTTTCCACTCACAGCTATAACCTTGACTGAATACTCCTTCCTGGGATTAAAATCCTTTATTATTGCTTTATTCTCTCCCCTTGCAATTTGCAACTCGGTTGTTTCCCCACCTGTCATCAGACACAAATCAGAGAAATCACAGAGAGGATGGTTAGTATGCACTGGCTTGTATGCCTGTTTCTACTCAGAAACCTATCACAGCATGTTCTTTATTGTCTGACTGCCAATGCCAAGCATTTCTTTAGATGCAATGACAGAAGGGAATAATGCTCTTAAAATAAAAACATGAAAAATAATGAATAAATGAATCACTTCATAAATTCCTATATATACACAGTCAAGATTTTTTAATGTTTTTTTAAAGAATACTCTTCTGCTCACCAAGCCTGCATTTATTTGAGCCAAAATACAGCAAAAGCATTAATATTGTGAAAATACTATTTAAAATAACTGGTTTCTATTTGAATATATTTTAAAATGTAATTTATTCCTGTGATTAAAGCTAAATTTTAATTAATTTGATCCTTCAGAAATCATTCTAATATGCTGAATTGCTGTTCAAGAAACATTTTTTATTATTATTATTATCAATATTTAAAACAGTTGAGTACATTTTTTCAGGGTTCTTTGATAAATAGAAAGCTGAAATAAAAAGCTTTTGTAACATTATACATTATACCACTTTGCAAAACGGTAATAAAAAAGCACTTTTGAATGCCTATAACAATGACATTTAAATAATTCAATTATTAATTCATTTTTATAACCGCAATTTTAATATGAATTATGTACACATCTACTTATTACACAATTTGGGGAAAAAAAGTATTTATTTAATGTTTTATTTTTTTTTTTTAATTAAAATATTGATATTACATTCTTTTTAAGTGGCAGTCATAGTCCTCCATAAGTTACTAGCCCAAATCTTTAACCTCTTGGCTACACCACTATTTCTATTATTCATACAAAGTTGATGTTTCAGCATTAATTCTGCAAAGGAAAGAAAGAGACAGTTCTCTCTGTGAACTTCCTTTAACAAACGCTTGGCGAAAAGTCTTGTTGTCAATAGATAGACTGTCCTGAATGATTTAAAAAAACACTGACACTTGTTGATGAATTAATAATAATAAGCATGTTCATGATTACAGAAAAGACAGACAGACTAACAGACGTAGAAAATGGGCATCCCAAAATCTGTCCCCTCAGACATCTAAAAGTACTTCCAAAATGATCCAAGTTCTCTAATGCAAAAGCAAACACACAATGTCCAAAATAGCCTAATAAACAATCTGTCCAATGTAGCTTTGCTCTTAGCCAGAGGAGGAATAGCACTAGCCTGACAAGTTGTGATGCCAAGTTATCACCCAAATACAATCTGTGGGTGGATGCTTTATGGCCATTGCACAGCAAACAACTTCATGAAGTTTGTTTGCAATATTGACAGTGACAAATGGTCTGTTCTAAAAAGGTCTTGGCTGCAAACTCATCTCTCTTGCTTCGTGACATCCCTGTCTGGTGACAAAGTCTAGGATTATGACTTAAAGGGAATGTTTACTTTTGGTAATCTTGTGAATTGAGAAGGGATGACAACTTTCACTAACTTAAAGGGATACTCCACCCAAAAATGAAAATTCTCTCATCATTTGCTCACCCTCATGCTGACTCAGATGTATATGATTTTCTTTTGTCAAATGAACACAAACAGAGAATTTTAGGAAAATAATCTATCTCTGTGAGCCCATATACTGCGATTGAGTGAAAACCTCAAAGTTGATGCTTCAAAAACCACACAAAACGAACACGACTGTAATCCATAGGACCCAGTAGATGAATCATTGTTTTCTGAAGCAAAATGATAGGTGTGTGAGAGAAAATCACTAATATTTTTGACTTTTTAAACAATAAACCATTGCTTCCAGCCAACTGTCACATGCACATCCTTATGTTGACACTTGATGTAACATAAACATCAGCATGTTGTGAAGCGTATCATAAGAGTGTTGTGAAACTCCGACATTTACTGTACATCAAGCATAATCTTATGATGGTTTATAGTTAAAAAAGTGAATCAATGTCTGTTAAAAAAAAAGTGAATCAGTTGTTTCACTTCAGAAGACATTGATTCATCAAACTGGTGTTGTATGGATTACCATTGTGTTTGTTTTGTGTGGTTTTTGAAGCATCCGCTTTGAGGGTTCCACATTCCATCTGTGTTCCATAGAAGAAAGTCATATATACCTGGAACAGCATAAGGGTGAATAAATGATGAGAGAAGCTTCGTTTTTGCGTGGAGTATCCCTTTAAAGATCTGGCCTTTAAAAATAAAATAAAATAAAATAAAATAAAATAGACCAAAAAAGCATAGTGATGAACTAAAAAGTGCAGCCAAAATGTATTGCATTTGAATCAGTCATGCCTGAACAGCGGCATAGTCATATCACAGTCCTTCATTGTGATGAAGAAGTCTGCCCTTGCAATTCAGATCCCTGACCAATGATCCTGATTAAAATCCTCGTGGCTTGCCGAGAGATCAATTGAAGGGGAGTGGAAGTTGCTTATTCAGCAGTAGTGGGAGCATGATTGGGGTTAGAGTCAGAACTGGAGAACCACAGTTTGCTGATGACTTTGCACATCACGCTTCATAGAAAAGTAAAAGAAGATTGCTGCAGACAGCAAACTGTCACCGTTTCTCACGACAACATCAAAGCGCTCAAATTCTCATTTGTTTAAACGAGACCAAAGGACAGAATTGCTTTGTCGCATACGAATATCTTCCTTCCCTCTTTGATTTTTAAAAAGAGTGGAGCAAAGGGCTTTTGAGGGGAAAATAGTGTATAGTTACATCTAAAAATAGATGCGAAATCAATTTGTGCTTAATCCCAATGCAAAATTTGATAACTTCAAAGTTTTCATATTTGACCACATATATTACTGAACATATACTTAAAACGGAAAAACTCATGTGTTTATTTTGTTTGTGCTCAAGGGGAAGACATGTCACTTTTAAAGAAAGGAAAGTACTGTAGAAGCCATGAGCCAGAATATACCTTTTCAAGAGTGATTAAACACATCTCACATCTCTCTCTCTCTCTCTCTCTCTCTCTCTCTCATTTTCTTGTGGCTAAGGGCACATTGTGTGAGTCTGAATGTGGTTTTGTGTGATATCATCTCGCTAGGGTGCACATCAGTCTTTCCTGCACAAGAACAGCACAAGCTGAGATGTCCGATTGATGAAAAATGACTCTTATGAATGGTTCTTTTGATGAGTCAATCAAAAATATTCACGAAACGGCCTCATTAGTTAGCTCTTTGAAACAGACTCACTCAGTAAGCGAATCACTTAAAGCCATAACTTTTTTTCTTTTTTTTTTTACTTTTATTGTGCTGTTATCTATTTGAAAATGAACCGGGCACACACACACACTTTTAGTTTGTAAAATTATTCAATTTTTGACTGGTTGGTAATGGCAATATGTAAATAAAAATGCATTTTCTCAGAGCTTTGTTGTATAAATTAATACAAATAATTAAACAAAAATAAATTAAGCAATTATTGGTTATTGTTTAACATTGTCAGCTTTGTTTGGGAAGCATAATTAACACACCATTTTCTCCAAATAAGCAAAAATATTCTTATAAGACAACAAAGTGATATTTATATGAAGCAAATACAATTGTTTACTAGAATTACAGCATCAAGTTGGAACAAATGAACAGCTAAATCACCCACCCAAGTTCATATAACTTATATTCAATCGCTGTCCAAGAGGGAATTTTTCAGAGAGGACGATATGTAAATTAATATTGATCAAACCTATAAAAGACTGCAGCAGGTTTAAAGGCGCAGTAATTAATGACACAATATAATCTTTCCGATCAATAACACAACAATTGCCAATATAGTAAATCAACGGAACAAATACAGACTATGATCATTATAAACATTTACACATGCATGCACAACTCTATTCCATTTACATACTTAATGTTTAGAGAAACTCCATCCTCCATTACTTCATTCTAGTACATCTATATATGGCCTGTCATTAAGCCTCACTTATTTTGAGATCCTTCATTAATTTAATCAATAATTTTGTTAAATTTGATTTGTTTCTCTTTACCTGCTATCCTTAATACTAGTAGGTTTGATGATACAGTGAGACAATGCTGAAAGCTAATTAGCTTGCAACTCTGACAGTTATGTAGTTATGTATTAGTTATGTATAGCTGTTTTGGATGGAAGCAAACAATGTTGCGTCATATAAATATTCTTTCTGATCTGTCACTTTAGTAATGAGAGGTGACTTTATCAGCCTCTTCGAACATCGGTGCAGTAATTAAAAGTTACCATATAAAAGAAAATATTTGTAAAATATTACAATTTGACATTAATGCATTTTCGCTGCAAATCAGTGCATAAACTTTGTCAGCATCATTATGTTAATTTTAAATAAATTTTTTTTAATTTTCCAACTAAAACAGTCATTTGTTGTCATATGTTTCATTTTAGGAGCTTTGCCATTTTCCGTTTGCAGCCCTTTCTAAGGACGCCAATGTTGTTGTGAGATTGGACATTTACAAAGCTGACATCAGATACCATAAATACAAGCAGCTGGATCAGACATCTGACCTCCATCTGACCCCCTTGATTCTGGCCAGGTACTGCAGCCAGACATTCCTCACCTCAATCACAAAAGAGTTGCATTGACCCGCTCTGATGCAAACTATCACCTGTCCTCATCCAACCCTGTTCCATCACTTTAATACCTCAATTCTGGCCAATAGCGAGAATTATCATGCCCATTAATGCCACTTTGCACATAGGAACACAGCAAATGAGCTGCTATAATTGAAACGAGTGCTTTTCCCATCTGTTGGGAACGTCTGAACCGGCTGATGATTATCTATTCTATGGACCCAGACCTAAAATACACAGAGTTCGGGAATGTGCTCTAAGAAACAAAGAGTTTGGACATGGCTTATTGTTGCCCGAGAAAAGGGGGTTGTGAGTGTTTAACAAAGGGGTGATTTTACAGAACTGATGGCTAGTGCACCTGGTTTACATAAAACCAGAGAGTGACCTTGGCTGTTTATGTCTTATAATCAAAGCCATATCAAAGCCCCAGACAAGGACTATTGTCAAATATGTAAAGAAACAAAGAGTCCTTCAGATCTGGCAAGGTTAACAAATACATCTGTCGAAGCTCACAGAGGGAAGTGAAGAAAATCTGAATGCATTTAAAGACAAAAGTAAGGCTGAAAAAGACTCAAAAAGAGACTGTATTTCATTAATAACAAATTTAACAGAAAGCAAACCTGTTATGCATACAATATAGTACCACTACATTTATTAATACTGACTGACCACAAAAGATCCAAACTAAATAAAAACGCTGTTTTACTGTCATTGCTTCTTACCTGGTTCACTGTTATATATAAATTTGTAGCCTTCATATTCTCCTTTTGGTTCCTTCCATGAGACAAGTAGCCGGCCTGCACTCAGGACTTTAAATCGAAGTCTTCTTGGAGCTGGAACTGCAAGGAAAGAAAGGAATTATAAACTGAAAATTTGCAAATTATGACTTTAAAATATTTTTCAGATGAGAGTTTAAATTGTACTTGGATAAAAATCTAAAGAAAGGTATGTTTTAAGTCATATTCTCACTCGGTGTCCAATTTAAGGTTATAATAATTTGTAAGGTATTTAATATTAGGAAATGTAAGGTGATTTAATATTATTATTTAATTGTCCATCCGACAATATGCACATAAAATCATGAACAGAGAGTTACAGTCTCATTAAAAATGAAAAGACGGTAATTGAGAAGAGAATGTGACTTTTAAAGGTCAGAAGAGTAGCTTTCTGCTATTATCTAAAGCATCCTAAGTAAATACCAGTGAGGTTGAAGAGGAAGACAAGTCTTAAAAAGTTCAAAAAAGCATATTACTTCAGTTTATGAGTGTCTACAGCCATAAACAACTGATTAGAGGTAGTCTTTTTTTCTATTGAAGTAAATAAACCCTTCTGACCCATAATCAGTTGTTGTGTGTTAGACCTATGAGAAATCACCACACCCAAACATCACACATCCCACATGTAAGGTAATGAAACATTGATTAATCAATGTTTCTCTGTGCTTATGTTGTTCACATGCCACAGTCCTGCTCAGAGAAAGAAACCGAGGTGCTACATAAAGTAGAGAAAACATGTTGGCACAAACAGAAAAGGAAAATAAGTCAAAATAAAACCCAGAGGTCAATACTATTGGAACAGGGCGTTTAGGAGACAGAGATAAAACATAAAACTGATCTAGGTGCACCAACCTGAGGAACAGAACACTGCTGGGTTTCCTGTGGGGTGAACATCTCCCTTCTCATGGACACTCACACCACACTCTGTCCAATATGTGTCTATGGGGAGCTATGACTTATTTCCATCAATCAATGTATATAGAACATTTCTGTGCTTAAAACGTGGAAACTACCCAGCTGGTAACAAGGTAGCAAGTGAAAGGGCTGAAAGATTAGCCTAAATGAAGCTGTTTCTCACTAGGGGCTAGCTAGTTTGGGACCAAATGTTTGATAGTGGTTATTGATAAACATATATTTTCTATGTAAATAAATTATATTATTTACTTGTCTTTACATCATGCTATAGAAATGGTCCCACTTTTTTTTTCACAACAGCTAAAATGACCAAACACCAATATTAATGATTAAATGTATAAATGTGCATTACCATTCAAAAGGCTGTGGTTTGTAAATTTTTTAAAGAAATCAATAGGCCTACATTTTTTCCAGCAAGGATGCATTAAAATAAATAAATGCTGTTCTTTTGAACTTTACATTTATCAAATAATTTTGGAAAAAAAAATGTATCAAAATGTAATTTACACAAAAGGGTTAATTAACTGTTTTCAACATTGCTAATAATACAAAATATTTCTTGAGCATCAAATCAACATATTAGAATGATTTCTGAAGAATCATGTGACAGTTAAAACTGGAGTAATACCAGCTGGAAATTATTTTTTGTGATCACACGAGTTTAAAATTTTAAAGAGTTATTTTATAATAATTTTCGCAATATTAATGTTTTTTACTGTATTTTTCATCAAAAAAATGCAGCCTTGTGACTTCTTTCAAAAAACAAAAATTGTAAAAAAAAAACGTATCGACCCCAACCTTTTAAATGATAGTGTATACAGTATGAATCATTTATTAAGAATAATAATTATTTATCAAAAATAATAATTAAAATAGTTTCTTTCTACAATGAACTGCATATCATTTATATCCAAAATGACATTTTTAATAGTTGAGTAAAGAGAATAAAGTATAGAGAGTCAAAGTTAATTTGACTATAATAAAACTTAAGATACCTAACTTATCTAATAATTATTATATCTAATAGTTCACAAAAAAATTATACAGTATATGTGCCTCTATAGCTTTGAAAAGAGTTATGGAACACCAAACTGTACTCTATTCATAGAAAGTGTCAGTGAAAATTCTTAGTCATTCATGTGAGTGGGATGAAATGAGTACTGATATAGATCCAGCCATCCAGAGAATTTGGAACATTTTTCACAACAGATCATCTGCGCATAAAGTAACCACCCTGGTAGTACGAATTTAGAGGAGAAAAGCGTGTTGTTGTGCCAGCTCAGTACTGCACACCATGACGGAAATGAAAAATGTATGCGAAACACAACTCCGAAAGTAATTCCAACAATGTTGAAATGCTAAAACTCTGCTCACGAGCCATGAATAATGAAGAAGAACATAATACATTCATCGGCGTGAAAAAACAACAGATTTCTGGAAGCAGTACCATGACAGTTTCATAGAATATTTCTAGGAAAACTGTCTTAGCACACCCAGGTACATCTCCTGGCTCTTGGTGATTAAAGGTGTTGTGCCAAATAGACTCCTGTAGAGATTGAGGGGGAGGTAAGGAACAACGGCAATGGTGGTTTAAGGGTGACAAGTGCTGACTTGTAACTTGAAACGAGAGAAATACGAGCAGGAGGTCCCGTATCTGTCTGTGTTAGAAGCGCGTACCCACAAATCCGCAGGCCTTTGATGTGGTTATCTTTCATCCTTTTGGAGACACTCACAGAGCTCTTACTCCAAAATCCACTGCGTCCTTTTATCATCGTGCTTCCAATTTCTCACCTGTCAGAGGGCTCCGCACTTGTTTTGAACGTTTATTTTCTACAAACTCAAAAATCAGTGTTGAGCGAATAAAAATATTAATGCCTACTTAGCGGGAGCAGTCAGAAACATTCTGCACTTTACAATCATCTAAGGCCCCGTCCACACGGAGACGCATTTAGCTGTATACGCATACATTTTGTATCATATAGGTGTTTCGTCCACACGGATCCGGCGTTTTTGGGAGAGTGAAACCGATATTTTTTTAAACCGGGTCCCAGGGGCCCGTTCTTCGTACGTCGCTTACATCCGAGATGAAATGTCACATCCAAGATGATATCATCGCGCTAATCAGAATCTGGCTAATTGGGTTCTTCGAACGCACCTGTTGTTGATGATAATGTTATAACAGATAAATGAAATGTGCACTGTTTTTATTTTATTTTAATTTTTTACATGATTCTCAATTATTTATATTCACGATTTCTAATTTTTGTACAGTCTTTACATTTTTATTTCAATGTAGTAATTAGCAATTCATTTAATTTTATATTTGAACAGATTTGTTACGGGACAGCATTATTTAAAGTTTCTTAAGGGTCAAGATCATATTATCTGCATCTCCTACGCTCCATCAAGCCACTCCCATAATAGCTGTCACCACTCAAATGAATGCACGACTCTACATTATCTGTATAGCATGTGTGTAAGACTATGTATTATGTATAAAAGTAATAATTTTATGACAAATAAATATTTCAGTGTTGGATGTGATGTAAATTTACACAGATCTGAGAAGCAGGAATTATGCAGGACCAAATGAAAATCTGGGAGACTTGGCTACATTTCTCATCTTGCCAATGTGTAAAAACACATTAGCTAGACAAATTGCTTAGTTAAAGGTTTTGTAATGAGATGCACTGCCTGTGTAAATCCAAACAACAATTATGTTAAAACTGTGAATGTGAATTATTTTGTGCGTGTGACTGCTTTTAACAAGATTTACAGACAGACTGTTTAAAGTAGACCTTCAGTTCTTTAGTTTCATTTTTCCACAACTTCATCACGCACACAATACAGCCCCTTCCAAAACGCTTTCATAATGTCTCATCATACCGCTTTGTATCACTCCCTGCTTCTACCCATTCATTCTCAGCAGGGCATTGTCAGCATTTGCAATCATTTTTGCTCCAACGCATCAAGTACCCACAAACACAGTGCAATGTGTTTTACATATTTTCTATAGGAATATGACAGGTTCAAAAGCTACAGTAAGTTAAGCTCAATTGATAGCATTTGTGGCATAGTGTTAATTACAACAAATAGTAATTTCAACTCGTCCTTTGTCTTTAAGAAATTTAAGGCTTATAATTTTTGGCATGCTTTGCACATTTTCAAATTTAAATTTGTCCTAAATGTGCACTAAAAGCCACATTCAGTTTTCTCCAGAACAGATGAACATAAAAGTGGTCATTTTATGTATCGCAGAAGTTTTATTTTATTAATTAAATATCTGGTGAGTGGCACTAACAGGTTAATGCTCTATGATTTTTGAAAATAGCATGCCACCTACATGAAACCCTACACTAAACCCAACCGATTTCAAACACGAGATAAAACAAATTTTCTGAAGCAACCATGTCATTTTAGCTTGCTTCTACAAGCCTTTCAGCTCTTTATTAAGACATAATGTACATTTTGCAAGTCCAGTGCTGTACCGGGTGAGCTACAGAGCAAGATTACTATATCCGAAAAGCCATACATATGAAGCTAGTTATGTGATTCAAACATCAAAATGTATTAGTTTACAAATCACGCTTAAACCTACTTAAAAAAAATAAAAAATACTCCAACCTACTCAGACAGAATGTGCTTTATTTTAAGGTCCAATTCTCACCATTAACAAACCATTCAACTATGACTTTTGCCTAAATAAACTCCTAATTTGCCGCTCATTAATAGTTTGTAAGGGAGTTGTTATGTTTAGGTATTGGGTTGGATTAGGAATGTAGAATATGGTCATGCAGAATATGTTTTATAAGTACTAATAATCAGCCAATATGCTAATAATAGGCATGCCAATAAGCAACTAGTTAATAGTGAGAATTGGTCTCTATACTAAAGTGTTACCGTGTATTTTAATGTTTATTGGCCCCATAATTCTCACCATTAACAAACCATTAACAACGAATTTTGCCTCAATAAACTCCTAATTTGCTGCTTTTTAATAGTTAGTAAGGCAGTTGTTATGTTTAGGTATTGGGTTGGATTAGGAATGTAGAATATGGTCATGCAGAATATGTTTTATAAGTACTAATAAACAGCCAATATGCTAATAATAGGCATGCCAATAGGCAGCTAGTTAATAGTGAGAATTGGTCCAGTGTACAGAAGTGTTACAGTGTATTTTAACGTTTATGTATTGGCCCCATTCACTTCCATCGTAAGTTCCTCGTTACAACCCAGATTTTTGCTTTTTTAAAAGCAGCAACAAGACGAAATTCATTTTCATGGTAATCAACATTATGCCGCAAGTGCTGTCGATTCATCTTAACTTGTATTAAACCCAGAATATTCCTTCAACTAAAAGTCTTTGGTTTGTTTATTCCCATTCAGCTGCACCACTGAGCAGTTTAAAATGACACCAACAGCTTTCAGTGATTTGAGGGATGAAAAGAACCTGTCTAGGCAGCATAAATTTAAAGACTACACATGCCCATCAGACAAGTGCTGGTCTGGGAAGAAGAGTGAAGGCAAAAAATGCAAAGAGTAATCCAAACTTTATCTTCCGAACAGAACCTCCCACTCCAGATGATGATCCAGGCTCCACCTTTCACTCCAGGGCCTGAGAGAAATGTGAAACTCCTTCCAAGCAGAGCAACCAATTAAGCCTTTAAGCTGCCTTGAGGGATATTATCATTGTGGTCCCCTGTGATGTTATAGACTAAATGCTTTTCCACATCTCTATCCCATCTAGACTCACTTTAGCTCTTTTTACTTTCTTACTGAGAGACGTTACACTAAAATGAGTCCCCTTAGGAGACGTGAAGGTGCATGAAGGGTCAAATTCAAATGTAACCCGGCCATTGTGACTAAATTAAATGATTAGGACAACATTTCATATTTTACGCAGCCACACAAAAGCCAATAAACCAGAGCAAATACCAATTCAGAACCATGAAGACAGCAATTACCTTGAGCCGAAACAGGGGTGAGAAACTGAATCAGTGCCAGCGAGATAAGCGGACACCACAGCTTAATCCTCGATCCCGACACCCGCATCCTTATAGCCATGTGAGTGATGCTTGCCCTGCACCTACGGAGGCAGAGAAGCAGAGAGTGAGTGGAGGAATTCAGTGAAGCTGTGTAGCCTCAGGGGGATTTCAGAAACACAGAGAGGGAGGAGGGAAAGTCTCTGCGGGTCAAGAACAGTAAAGACTTTGTTGAGTTTTGATGGACAGCCAGTGAGAAGTGCTTCCTGAGGACCATTGTTGTTCCTGAGAACAAGCAGGCCACTACGGCTCCTGTCATTCATGTCGGATAAGAAGGCTGACGTGTGTTTAGAGAGGAAGCCGCCCGGGCTTGTTCAAGAGGGCAGGGCACCCCTACTTAACTTAAACAGTGGTCTAAATTAGAGTCAAGAGATTATGCTGGTTAGCTGCAGACTATGGTATGTAGTTCAATAAGTCAGTATTCCTTAGCTGTTGTGACACATGGCTTCTTCTCTCTCTCTCTCCTTCTCCCTCTCTATATATATTGTTGTTGTTGGTCATGATGTGCCTTTTTAAATGGAATATCGTTTAAATTAAAGCTTGTTTGGATGGCACATGGTTGTCCATCAGCATTTCACTATTCATTTATCTCAATGCATGCTTTTTATTCTGTAAAATGGGATAAAAAGCATGCTATCAAGGCTCCGAGCATTTCATTTCAGTCAAATATTTGTACTACAAGAGAAGCCTTTTTTAACAAGTCCACAATGCATGGTTAAACTCACTTGCTTGTCTGTCTTTGTCCCTCTCTCTCTCTCTCTCTCTCTCTCTCTCTCTCTCTCTCTGTGTGTGTGTGTGTGTGTGTGTGTGTGTGTGTGTTTCACCTGCTACTGAATGATGAATCCTGAAATAAACATCAAGTCTCAACTTGGCTTCATTTCTATTCTCAACAGCACAGTAAAGATGAAACGCGCTAAATTTAAAAATAGATGTAGGATACATCAAGTCAATTCTTTGAGCATTGGTGGTGTCTGGGACATCCCTATGATTCTCTCTCTCTCTCTCTCTCTCTCTTTCAGTTAGAGAGAATATTATACTAGCAATAATAATAATAATAGAAAACCTACTTATTTATATAAACTATATTATAAAATCGTTTTAAGAACATTTGAAAGTTTCTATTTACGTCAGTTGGGGAAATATTTTACGAGTAAAAAATATAAACTATATATAAAAATGTGTGCTATTGCTATATATGTAATTAAACACACTTTTAAGTTTATTGTGTAAGAGATCAATTTAACTAAAAAGGTTTTCCAAAATTATACATTAAATTCTCTGAAATAAATTCAAGAAAATGCATAACAATACAAAAGTGGCAAAACAGTCAAAAATATATCACATATATTTTCTAGTCTGCATCTTGAGTAGCCTAATTCTCACAGTATGCTATTGCTTTAACAAACGCATATCAGATAATGAGTAGAGAATGTAACAGATGAAATCCGACAGCAGTCTTACCTTTCACACCATTCGCTTCAGTGAAATCCACTTGATCTAAATGTGATCCAAATTTCCGCGTCTTGCGATGGTCAGACTTCACTCGTATCTTCTCGCAGCGTCAGTCAGATGGCTCACAGCGCTCTCCGTGTGCGTGTTTCGTCTGTCTTTATTCGTCCATTCCCTCAGCTCTTCAGCTCTGCTCCTCATTTCATCCTTTAGTGTTGAGTCCGGGGGAAAAAAACGTTCATGCGACCAATTGCAGCCACTGGACAGACGACGAATGATCTCACGACAATCAAGAGCCCTTCTCAAATACTTGATCCTGCCTACATGTAGGCTGTTCAGCGCGGGGAAGAAAAGCCATTATCATTACATTTCAAGGGAATGCAACTGAAATGAACAATCATAACGCCTACAACCAGGGTGATGGATGATTAAATTGACTGTTATGGCACTGCCTAATTATATTTTACTAACTGAAATTAATTGAATCAGTCAGTGTTGCGCAATTATTCAGTTACTTTTGAAATTTGAAAATAATTTTTGTTAGTAGGCTATTATCTGTCACAGTTAAACGTGAATTAGCATATTTTACGAACTTTTTTAACAAAACGTGTGTAATTTCAGAATTTTTTTTGAAACTGTTGAATCATAGCGTATATCGGCATTTTAAGTGTAAAATAATACATACTCTTTCAAAACTTTGTGTTAGGGTTTTCACATCTTAATTTGGAGAGTCAAACCCTCCAATACTCCATAATTGCACATTGGGTTCAGCTAACCTAGCAGTTTCAATGTAAAAAGCTTCAATATCTCAAAACAATATGCACCTCCATTCTCTTTGGAAGTACTTGTATTTTAGATTGATCATCGTATTGTATTTCTTTGTGTTCTGTTCTCTCCTAGCACACTGAAAATAACTTTTTATCCTTTCGGTAACACCTGCACCTTCTTATATCAGTTCAAGTTGAGCAGGGAACAAAGCTATCTGAATGTACACAAGTGTTGAAAGGAAGAGATGTGAAAGATATGTGAGATTGTGCGTGAGATGTTTCTTACTGTGTGCAGGTTGCTGATTGGACAGAATCCAGATTGCAATGTTATTTTGGAAGTTCTCTGCATGACCCAACACTTGTAGAAATCTACCAAATTCACACGTATCACCAAGGAGTACTAAACAGGTGTTCTCTTGGCCAAGGTTTGCCAGAGTTATAAAAACCTAAAATGTGTGTAACCACATTCTTGTAATCCATATTCAGCTTGGTTATGGGGATGAAAGAATATTTGACTGTTGTTATTCATTATTTGATTGCCATGGGCCATCACACTGGCGGCACTTCCCACAAGACCGCAGATTTGCAGTCTGAATGAACCACTTCATTTGCATGACTCATCTGATGAGTAAATATATTACAGAAATGATCAAGGGTTCATAACACCCCACCATATGATCATTCACCATGTTTTTGAAGGTTATAAGAGTATGCAAATGTTTATGTTCACATTGTTGATTTCAGTGCAAACAAATATGGCTGCCAAATATCGATTTACAACCAATAACAATATGTAAATATGGTTGAAAAGTGCATGAAGTGTTTTAAACTACTCTGAATCTCTCATGAGGACAAGTCTTGTGCTCTCGCTTACTGCTGAGCATTAAAGTGCAGGAAAGTGTACAGCACTTTATCGCAAACTCATCCTTCAAAAGAAAGAGGACATTTTGATTTCGAAAAGAATCTTATAGACTTTCAAAAACTTCTTCACAGAATAAATGGCTCATTGAAAGCAGCCCAGCTTGCAGCGTATACAGCATTTATCAACTTCAATGTACAGAGTCAGCGCGGGACTGGAACGGTGACACCTGGATGCCGAGATGCAGTGGCTGTAAGCTCTTTAACGCTGAATGGCTTATTCCCAAATGACAAGGCCGAGCGTAATGAGGCATTGTGGGCTAATCAGCGGGTTCATTCAGCAGGCTCCAAAGGAACCTTATATTACTCAGCGACTTCTAATTAACCGTGGGATACGGCAAAAGATGATGGTGTGGAGGAGTCTGCAACACCCTGGAGATACAGGAAAGAGCAGTTCACGCAGACAAGCAGATGCACGCTTGTACATAAAGGCAGTTTTCACACAAACACACACACATAGTGTTCGGATGGATTGCATATAGAGATGCACATGGTAACAAAATGGACACACCTCTCAAAGATGATCAAAGGTCTTTAGGAATAAAAAACGCAAACATTCTTAGAGGCTTCACGGGGGTCACGGCCGTGGCATTGACTATTCCAGTGTATATCGATCTTAGATCCATAAAGTGAATATGCCTGTCTCAGTGTTTATTTAATATGGCATCCCTTAGCAAAGTGGGAAGGACATGGAATATTTCAAGTTTGCATATTCATATAAATCTGGCAGATTTCCAAACTCTTTTGAATAGGATGAAGGGGCTGATGAGCCATGCCCTTGTTAGACTTATTTTTAAGATTTGGCCAGTCCTCTCAATGCGATTCGCCCGTGAGGAGGTTTCACAAAAGATTCATCATTAACACAAAAGGTTAATATTTTCCACAGGCCGTCTGTGAAGGTAATCAGTGCACATAACTGCTTTGTTGAACAGTGATATCTTGCATAAATGGGCTGGGCAATGTTCTATGCTCATAAAAGTGCAAGGGGTAGGCTATGTGGCCTGTATAAGTGTGTCTGTATAACGGAAATGTATGCACTCGTCTAAAAATTTAGAAATGTGTACATATAAATATACACATGCTTTCTTGTAGCTCAAACAGTAGAGCAATGCCAAGGTCATGGGTTCAATTCCCAGGGAAAGCTAAATAAAATGTAAATGTGTTAACTGCATAAATGTAGGCTGGCTATGTATGGATTTTTAAAATCTTTTTTATCTTTTAACCTTTTTTGTAATATATATATATATATATATATATATATAGGAAACATGTTGGGCAGAGCTTTGGAGTGGGACTGAGGGATTATCAAGGAAGGAGCGGTTGGCATCTGATAATGTTCATCCATCAGTTGTCTGAACTGTGTGGCCTATTGAACTAAAAAAGCATCTAGACTCCCTTGCCCTCCCACTTCTGGGAATCAGCAGCAGAGCATAGCTTTAGGACATAAGCCTCTGCATGGTCACTTAGACAAATGTGGCCGTTCTGAAGCACTTGATTCACTTCAGCTAAATTTCTGCAGTTTAATGATGCACTTGTTGCACTTTCGATCTGTCACATACTTTCTAGTCACCCATTAAACTGATTTGCAATAATCATGGTTTATTTGATCTGTTCTAATCACATCGTGTAAATCTTTCAGCTCTTATCTTGTCAGATTCGATTAAAATAGTTGAAGACATTTTGATCCTTGACAATGAGTAGAGAAAAAATTATCTCAGTATTACTTATTAAACTCAGGTAACAGCCTCAGTGGGGGATGGTTGACTTAAGACAGCGGTTAAATGTCTGTTTGTCTGCTCTTACCTCATATAGTGTGCAGGGAATTCCCCAAGATCCTCTTTTCCTTAAAAGACCAACTGCTATCAACACTCACAACTCACCTCGTCTACTCCTACAGCCAGAGCACATTTATGCTGCTTTTGGAGGGAAAGGGAGGAAAAGTTGTGGTTACATTATGTTTCATTCAGACAACAGGTAAGATTAATATACTAAAACAGAAGAGCACTATAATATAAATTGGAAAGACTGCCTCGGTAGGAAGCATGTAGACAGGAAATGAAAAACGTGGAGCATTTATAATGCGGCGTTAACAAAGAAGATTACACAGAAGGTCAGCTGTTTAAAAGAATGTCATCTTGACATTGTTCTGGCTGCTGACGATCAATATTTTTAACTTTCAGTTTTAATGCAACAGAATTGAAGTGAAGTGAATGTGGTATCAGACGAGGCAAAGAGTAACACTGCCCTCTAGCGATAAAACAATAAAGTATGGATCTACTCAGCAAGAATAACCTTGAGGCTAAAACGACTGTCAGCAAAAAAAAGGACAATAAAAGAATAAAACACACGAAAATCTAACAGTAACAGTGAAAGGTATATTTACCTCAACGTTTGGAGCTCGAAAATCAATAAAATATGCAAAGTCTCATTAACCAACAGGTGGCACTAGTAAACCTAAATAATTCAGGATGTCAACAGCATTACGTCATCGCTGTACGCAAATTGTTATTGTCTCAGGACTGGTTATGAATAGCCTACCATTTGATACATTAATACAGTCTGAGGCCACACTGAAAATCTGTAATTTCTCATTTTAATTTTAAATGAGAAATATACAGAGTAATTTAAGTTTTATCACCAACCTGTGGAGTCCATATTTCTGCTTGAAAATGTTACAGATTGAGAATCTTACATTATAAATGTAATTTGTAATAAAATTTAAAGGGGTCATATGATGCGATTTCAAGTCTTCCTTTCTCTTTGGAGTGTTACAAGTTGATTGTGCATAGATAAGATCCCTGAAGTTGCAAAGACTAAAGTCTCAAAACCAAAGAGATATTCTTTATCAAAGTTAAGACTCTGCCACGCCCCCCTAAAACGGCTCGTTCTAACACGCCCCCACATATCTACCTCACTATGTGGAAATATTAGCATAATGCCGCCCAAATGTGCACGCAAAGAAAGAAGGCATGGTTTCAGTAACCGCAGTTAGTGTTGAAGCAGCATATCAGGGAGACGCTGTGTGTTTCTAGGAGAAAGCAAAAGCACTTTATTTGGCCTTCCAAAAGTAGATGCATTTAGGAATCTTTAAGATCACTTACAACAGAACAGCAATGCATTCTATGGACGACCGTTTCGTGAACCTAGGAGAGGAGTGTTCTGTTCCCCTTTCGGGCTTGAACTGATGGTAAAACTAATGACATTATTTACTGTCTTTACATTTATTTTGAAAGATGAAGCTCGCGATTATGGTAAGGGGCGTTACATTTCCGACGAGTGCTTGCGGTGTTCGGCCAATCACAATGCACTGGGTCAGCTGGCCAATCAGAGCAGACTGCGCTTGTCGGAAGGAGGGACTTTGTAGAAAATGAAGCGTTTGAGAGAGGCGGGGCATAGAGGACCTATAATAATGTACAGTATTTGAAAAAGAATGTGTTTTTTGAACATTAAAGCATGTCAACATATTCTGTTACACCAAATACACAAAATAATGATCTTTAAAAAAGCATCATATGACCCCTTTAAGAGAGAGAGAGAGAGAGAGAGAGGATGCCAATTATGTGGTTTTAAGACACAGAGGACAGTTTTTAAATGAAATCAAGAAGTTTAATAAAACATTAATCAAAACACATATTAATCATGAATAAGAGCTGCACAAAGAAATACTATGGTACCATGAACTTACCCCTTGGGATAGTTTGCCCAAAAAATAAAAATTCTGTCATCATTTACTCACCCTTAAGTTGTTCCAACCCTGTATAAATAACATGAACAGCCATTGAATTACATAGTCAATGGCTTCCATCAACTGTTTGGTTGCCAGCATTCTTCAAAATGTCTTATTTTGTATGCAACAGAAGAAAGAAACCCATACAGGTTTGGAACAGTTTGAGGGTGAGTAAATGAGGACATCATTTTGAGTCAACTATCCCTTTAAACAGACACACGTGCATTGAACTTAGCTGCACTGAACTTAAGTTTTAAATGAAACTTTCCTTTTCATTCTATTTCAGAACAGAAGACAGAAGAACTATAAGATTATTAGATTAGCTTAGATTTCCCGGCAGTGAGGAACATGTGGCACATATCTGGCCCAGTATTTAGCAGACTACTCGGATTGCGGATTGTCATGATCACCTCCAAAATCTTCAGCTATACCGTCTTTAAAAGAGGACTTTTCAGATGTTACATGACCAGCCGTGAGAATTAGCAGCACAATACAGGTCATTAAGGCAGAAGATTCAAGCCTACTTCAATTAAGAACAAAATATCATCATGTGACTGTTATTTGTCATTCTCATCAATACAAATGAGTACAACCGCACAACAAGCAACCTGCAAAAAAAAAAAATAATCCACAGAGAAGAATGTGTGGAAGATGAGCACATTATAGATATCATGTTGTGTCATGACATATCTTAATTCTTACACAGATGCCTGCTTTGTACAATACACATGCATATAGGAGTTTGCATATACAGCACTACTGTATATTTCCAATTTGTCTAATAAATCCTTAGATAGAATTACAAATGTATGTCTTAAACTAGTTACAAAATTTGGTGAGTGAATTCATAGACTTGTCTTATTGACTGATTTACTCTATAAACACACTACATGACTATGCAAAAATTTTCATGGCAGTAAGTTTTCAAGTTAAAACAGTAAGTCCCGAAAAATACTCTACGCAAATATGTGAAAGCAGACTCGCATAGACACACAAACTCTGTGTTCCGAAATGTCTCTGACCGTGACTGCAATTTATAATTAGGATTTTTTTATGATCACTTTTCTCTTTCATATCAACCTCTGTCAAAGTGGACCAACAGTTTAAAGGTTTGAAGATAATCGCTAAGCTAGCTAGCAACTTTCCTGAATAAAAACACATCCAGAATAATAATGCACGTTATTATTCAATCGTCAGCGTTTACAGACTTGTGTAAAGTATATTTCTGCCGTAACTCTTATAAAGTGATATTTTCAATATTGTCATATAATATTAGTTGTTACATTTTACAGGTAACTACTTGCCTTTTTGATGGCATTTAGACAAAAGACAGAAACTTTAAACTACTTTCACAAGATACTTTTAAATCAAGACACGAGTTACAGTACAACAGCATCTTTCAGATGTGCGTAGCGTTTTAAACATTCACTCTCAAGTTTCACCTAAAGTCTGTAAGTGCTGTTGTTGGTTGTTCCCTGCATTCGGATGGATATATCAATATGTATTATTTTACTAACTCCCGGCAAGCATGACAGGAATTATAAAAGAGTTATTTTAAACTAACCACACTAAGGTCATAAAATGCCTGATACAATGTTGTATACATTTACTCTCCAAATCTCACAGCCTAAACTCTAAATGATGAAACAGTAGAAAAAGAGCACTGAATTATGCTCTCACCTGAATGGCACACATATATTAGTTTGGCATCGGTTCTGCAAACCTACCAAGAGTGTTTTAAATGCTACGGTTCTGCTAAAAATGATATTTGGCAGCTGCTTTTCCCATATCATCTGTCCAGGTACAGCCTTAGCTGACATGGACCAGTAACAGTCAATGAGGAGCCAATGGGAGGCACGGATTCCAAAGCATGGATTAGTGTCATGTTAATGGTTTGAATCAAAATGATGAACGGAATCAAGAGTTCACTTCTCTGAACATTCCATTAAACAGAACGTTGACTCGCTGAAGAAAGTCCAGCTAAGAGAAAAAGAGAACGAGAGAAGAACAGAAACACTAAAGAGCGGCTGTCTTCAGTAATCGGCTTCCTCCATAACCTCCATGACCACTGTTCTGGGGCCAGTGAGGATGAGGCTGCTGACAGTCCTGTAGTCCAGATTCAGCACATTCATTCCATTAACTGCCACCACAAACTGACACACCTGTAGAGATGAAAATGAGGCAAAACAACAACAGTTTTATGTTAGGTTACACTTGGTACACCCTTTTTGTACTTTGATAAAGACATAAAAGTGCTGAAACACAACATAATGATTATAGAGCATATAAACCACACATATGACACAATAAACGGATCGTAATTTTTCTCAGTACAGCAACATGGCACAATTACACCTTTCAGGAGAACAGTAAAGGAGTGCTTTTTAAAATCAGCTAAATTAATTCTCGGGGGGGGGTCTGCAAATGAATAACGTAATAGCCTTTATGTCCTTCCTGGCAGACCCATAATGGCACTACCATCAGAAATGAGTCATACCATTACCATTATCAGCATCAAATGATAAATAAACAACATGTGAAAGCTTGCCATTATCAGCATGTGTTCAAAACATCTGTTTTTGGCACCATTTGTACACTAGGTGCCTATGTACAACTCCAGCAGTTGTAATCTCTGTGCTAAGAGGTACAAATGTTTGGCTCAGTTTACATCAATCTTTCTGAGTTATGACAACTTCTAATAACATTATGTTCAACTAACAGAATCTTAATCATTTATAGCATAAACACTATTTTTTAAGCCGATTAATCTTAAAAATTAAATTGTCCCTACTCATAGTAGTTTCTATAAAATTCACTCGTAAATGGAGTGGTGGGCTGGAACCAACTTATTTATATGACTTCAAAATAACAGCTAGTAAGCACATACTAAATGTAGATAATTTTGCATGTCAATTTATGGCATTAAGTGATTGCTCATAAAGCAACATACAATATAGCCTATACATTTATGTAACCTAACCACAAGCTGTACTTTTCAGCACAATGGTAACCACAAAAACTTCACAGAATATAAGAGAAACTATTTTAAATGTCAGACATAACAGAAATAAATACTAACAGTCCTTTCCCTTTTCTAAAATCAGAAAAAGTAATAATTTGTTTCATGCTGAGAACTTAACAAGAGGATTTCATTAACTTACTACAACTTACAAAAAATTACTTTTTAAAAAAGTAATCACTATAACACTGTCAGCAGAACTCAACAAAATGTTTTAAAAGGTTTAATTAAATCCATAAATTACAATCTCGCAATGTATAATATAATGTAATATAATATTATGTAATGTAATGCAATGTAATGTAATATAATATGTGACCCTGGACCACAAAACCAGTCTTAAGTGTCAATTTTTCAAAATTGAGATTTATACATCACCTGAAAGCTGACTAAATAAGCTTTACATTGAGGTATGGTTTGTTAGGATAGGACAATATTTGGTCGAGATACAACTATTTGAATATCTGGAATCGGAGGGTACAAAAAAATCAAAATATTGAGAAAATCACCTTTAAAGTTGTCCAAATGAAGTTCTTAGCAATGCATATTACTAATCATTGCAAATTAAGTTTTGATATATTTACAGTAGGAAATTGACAAAATATCTTCATGGAACATGATCTTTACTTAATATCCTAATGATTTTTGGCATAAAAGAAAAATCTATAATTTTGACCCATACAATGTTTTTTTGGCTATTGCTACAAATATACCCCAGCGACTTAAGACTGGTTTTGTGGTCCAGGGTCACATATAATATAACACTGATTAATACGAAAATATAATGATGAGTAATGACATTCCTCAATTGCAATCTTTTCCTATCCTCTTGTGTGTGTGTGTGTGTAGTGCCCGCCATAAGTATTGGGACAGTAATGACAAAATTGCTTTGTTTTCTGTGTAGTTAGGACATCTGCACATATGATTAAAAGATGAATATGAGACAAAACTACAGAATGTCACATTTTATTATTAGCCGTTTCATACATACATGTTTTACCAAATAAAAAGGATAGCACTTTTAGAGTTCATCCCACTATTTGATGTGAGCATAAGTATTGGGGCAGTTGAATTTAAGGCAAATGTAAAAGATTAAAAGCTATTATTTAGTTGCAGATCCCTTGCGTGCAATCACATCAGTGAGTCTGCGACCCATAGACATCACCAGACTCTTGGTCTTATCCTTTGAAATGCTTTTCCCAGCCTTTAATGCAGCCAATTCCAACTGTTGCTTGTTTTGGGGAGTTCTGCCTTTAGTCTCCTCTTTAGCTGGTGAAATTCATGGTCAATCGGATTTAAATCTGGAGATTGGTTTGGGCAATCTAAGACTTTCCAGTTTTTTGCCCTGATAAACTCCTTGACTGAACTGGCAGTGTGTTTTGGGTCATTGTCCTGATGCAATATGAAGTGCTTTCTGACGAGTCTGGTGGCATTTTCTTGAATATTGGTAGCCAAGATGGTTTTGTACCCTTCCAAATTCATTCTGCTACTGTCATCATACATTAAGTCATCATTAAAGCTGAGAGGGCCTGTTCCAGAGACAGCCATGCATGCCCATGCCATGACATAACCTCCACCATGCTTTACAGCTGAGGCTGTATGCTTAGGATAATTTGCACTTCCCTTTTTCTCCACACTTTTGCTCTCCCATCACTTAGATAAAGGTTAATCTTGGTCTCATCTGTCCATAAAACTCTGTTCCAAAAATCTACTGGCTCACCTTTGTGCTTTTTTGCAAACTCTAATCTTGCCTTTCTATTTTTGGTGCTGGCCAGAGGTTTGCATCTTGTTGTGTTGCTGTTTAATTCTGTGTGAAAGTCTCCTCCGGACAATAGATTGTCAGAGCATCACCCCAGCTTTCTGGAGGTTGTTGGTGATTTTACAGACACGTATTTTAGGGTTCACTTTCACAGCTTTTATGATTTGTCTGTCACCAACTGCTGTAGTTTTTCTTAGCCGATCAGATCGTTGTTGGTTGCTGATGTCGCCGGTGGTTTCCAAACTGCTGATTTCTCCATGCCCTTTGTTTTTGCTATAGCTCTAATTGACTTCCTCTTTTCTTTTAGCATCCAAATTGCTTGCTTTTCTCTCAAAGTCAGCTCCCTCGTCTTCATCCTGGTTTGTGTGTCATCATCGAATGCAAGACTAAGAATGCAGAAGCAATGGATATAACTGATACGACACATTCCCTGCTTTTAATATCTGAACAATTAATGCAACAGGACACAGCTGATCACTTAAAAAGACCTGTGAGGCAACTGTCCCAATACTTCTGCTCACATCAGATAAGGGGATAAAACTCTAAAAGTGCTGATCTTCTTAGTTGGTAAAACAACTGTGTTGAATCACCCTATAATAAAATGTGACATTCTGTAGTTTTGTCTCATATCCATCTTTTAATCATATTTGCAAATGTCTTGACTCCACAGCAAACAGAGCAATTT